TTTTTGATATCCCGGAAAACTTTTCCTTGTATACTATGTAAGAATTAATACAAATACATGTTAAATAAAATTTTGGAACCAAGGAAACCTAAAATCAATCAGTATTCTTTTTATTAATGTCATTTTGTTAGGTTTTGGCGCGTAATCTATTAGAAAATAAAAATAGATGTCAGGAAAAAAAATTGTGTCACACAGTGTCATCACATTAGATCAGGAATAGAGAATATTTTCGAATTAGAAATACCAACAAAGAACTCATTGAAAAAGAAAATATCGAGTTTATTCAAATTGTTCAGTACACCAAGAATCCGCCTGTCGATCAGAATTGCAATGGCTTCTCAGACTAAATAAAAGAAACTGTTTTACAGTGTCGTTTTAATTATAACTTTTTCTGATTTAGAAATGAATCTATCGATCTCGAACGTTTCTTGGGTTCTGGGAAGAAAGTTGGAACAACATGACAATCGTCTGATTGATCTTGAATCATTTTTCAACAATTCAGTTGAGTATACATGCTTGCTCAAAGTGAGGTCAGAAACACTCGAATAATAGCTAAAAAGTATTAATGAAAAATCGTGAATTTGTAACACAGAAACAGAACATTTTTTAAATAACAAATCTTCTATAATATAAGAATGTTCGTTATGCCATTATGCATTTCCCTTAAATTGGAATACGATAGGCCAAATTCGTGCTTATCATTTTTCATGAATGCTGTAGAATAGATACACGCTCCTCTATTATGCTATTATGCAATATCCTGAAGTATCCCGTATGATACACTAATTTTCTGCGCGCAATCTGATTTAAAAATGCTCATTCAATTTTAAAACTTGTTTTCAAAATTCATTCAAAACATACTTCCTTATATTCACAGAAGTATGAATTGTGATGCAGATAGGACATAAAAACACGTTCTAACATCATTATAAATAACATCATAGTTGTGCGAGACAAGATCTGAATTAGAGACCTATCTTCTAAAAATATTAATCATTATAAATATTTGAAAAATAAATTCAATAAACGCATAAAAACTTTTAGGCCTAACCCTCATGAAGATATTACTAATCGTACAAAACGCGAACACGCGGAGGTATGGAAGAAGTGAAAGTATGACGCGAGATGTTGTGCTCCCGTTCGATAATGTGATATGTTGTTAAATGTATTATTGTTCCATAGTTTTCTTCAATGTTTTATATATTTCTAAAGCAATTTTGTTTCATACAAAATTACAGAAAAGTCAATCGGAAAGAGTTCACCATCTATTAAAAGAGACATATATACTGAATGGATGGTAAGCGGCTAGTAATTCTCACTTCTACAAGCAGTCGGAAAGATCAGGAAACTACGTGAACTCGAAGGCAGAATGTGAAAATTTTGGAGCCCGACTGGCATCGACTGGTATTCGTGACTCAAAAATAAGGAAGTATGTATGATTTGGTATTTTGATTGTTACCATATTTAGCAAGTAAATTAGCAATCATTTTTAAAAGCGATTGTACTTCTGCTATTAGCGTATCGGGCTTGCAGGAACGAAATTACTGGTGATATTTAACTGCGAAACCTTGACTCTCAAGTAATTAAGAATCAAATGCCCGGACGAGTTTGCTTTTCCGTTAAAACACAAATTTATTTCGTTCATATACGTAAAGTTAAAATAAACCATTTTGCAATTTTGTTGTCATAAATGGCAAAGAAAGTATTTGATTCGTGTAGAATGCAATATGCAAATTACTTTAAAAATATATTTGTAATAAAAGACAAATTCAATCAGATATGTACTATTTACTATTATGTCTAATATTTTAGGGAGATTGAGGAAAATGTCAAAATCACTTCTGTTTATTCATGGATTGGATTAGATAGAACGTCTCAAGATAATGAGTGGGCGTGGTCGGATGGGGGCCTATACGATATGAACTCCACAGCCTGGGGTGAAAATGAGCCGAACAACAAAGAAGGAGATGAAAAATGTGCTCATTTGACTAAACTAAACGATATCAACGACATATCTTGTTCCAGATACTTTTATTACATTTGTGAAATATGAGCAGATTTAGGGTCCAACTGAATTAGGTATTATAGCATTATACTTGACACCTCATTCAATTTATATTGAGGGCATATACAATAATCTTCCAGTTAACTTCATAGACTGCTGTAAAGGATGGAGAGTGTCAAAATCTACCCTAGCCAAAATCATAATTGAAACAAAGAAATGAAATTTACTCGCACACAAATGTTTGAGGGTAAAAATTTTGTAGGGTGTAAATGTCAGGATGACATGACTACTAATAAAGGTAGATTGAATTAGATAGGGGATGTTCAAAACAATAGGGAACGAGAAATTTTGGTAACTTTATTCACAGCAGCAGAGGATTTAAGATTTGATTTTATCTCGAAAATATTCCGCAAATTAACGAAGCCATTTTTTTGGAGTCGTACAATTTAATTCTTTATTTGTGCGCTTTTTGCATCTCTACTGTTAAGCTATATTTCACAATCTGCTTTCATAGTTACGGTTGTTGTTGTCTTGTTCTATTGATCATAAAAAATTTGTGTATTTATATACAATTGCATTATTGCTTATTTATTTTGATCTTTCATGTGTTTCATATGTGTATTTTATTAATACTAACAACATCATCTTTAATTTCATACATTGGAAGGTTGTATTATGATTTACGGTATATATTTACTGCATGCGAGTACAGTAAATTGTAAATTGCATGTCACAATAGACTATTTTAGAAGAATATATAATGTCACGCGGGCTCACTTAAACGTAGAATAGAGCGATCCTTGAATATATGGAGACGAAGACCTGACCAGGACGCACAATTTTCTAAGTTTGATGACGTCACCGCAGTGCTGGATTATTTGACTATGTGATATATATAGATCACGGGTCGACAACCTTTAGCATTCAAAGATCCATTGGCACGCTTTCCATCAAACTCAAACCCACTCGGAACCGCAACGCCTAATCTACTGTCAGTGGCTATTAAAACTCTCGGGGGAACCCCCCTATGATGTAATAATCTAGTTCTTACTACTTTGTCCCTATAGTTTGAAAAACTTTAAACCAGAACTCACATTCAATATTTAATATGATGAACATGATAAAATTTATATTCACCGTGCCACTTCAACTGGCTATTCAGTACCGATATTCAATATGCAGTTTATTTCTTCGTTATATACCATCGGTATTTCGCAAATATATCATCATTAATTGTGCTAATGAGCCATATTAAGGCACACTTCAAGTGCCGTTTATGTAAATGATACGATAGGCTATGTTGACTAATAGCAAATCATTTACACAATTTATCGGTATTCTGAGATTCTACGTGAACAAAATTTTGTAATGTACGTTGGAACAAGCGATCTGATGAAGATCTGTATGTACTAGTTTTGACATGATTTCATTATCAAATCACCTTTCATTTTGGCTTTCAAAATGCCAGTAAATAAACTGCACCAAACGTGCAGCATACCAAAAATAAGGTGTGGCGTGACATTTGCGGTCTGATGGATTAAACCAAGGGTCACCAAACTACGGCCCGCGGGCCGGATCCGGCCCGCGACGTCATTTTATCCGGCCCGCGGCGTCATTTTATCCGGTCTGCAATAACACACAGAAATGGCTAAATTTTTTTCAAAGGGAGATTTTCACGAGCATATTCGTCCTTGTTTATTTCGTAACATTGGCCAATCGGCAAGATGCAAAAAAGTGACGTAATAATAGGCCTTTCCGCGTCCGCTCAGATACTTTTGTCGCCCTGACAGATTTTCAGTCGTGGTTGTAAACAAAACTTCGTTTTTGCAACTTTGAATGCTACCAGCACGTAACGTTTTCTGCGATACACTTGTACACTCGTGGCGCGTGCTTTCGACGGAACTGTTTGTTTTTTGTGCTAAAATAAACGTCGAATGTGCATTTTGTGCTAACAGTACTGTAATCCCTCGCGTACTGCTTCAATTTCAAAAGCCACACTAACTTTTGTACTGCTTTAATGCGGATATTCATGTAGGTATGTTACAAAAAAATTGAAGTTCATCCGATTTAAATAAAAACTGCTCCAGTGGAAAGATCTGAGTAAAAATAGAAAACAATACCAAGTTTATAATAAATGATCAAGAAATAACGGAGATATCGGAATTTTAGTACCGCCCGACAGGCCAATTTTTTCCATAATGATTGTATTACTTTTTTGATAAGAACTGAACTAAATATGGAAAAATAACACATATCAATCACTAATCTTTCGTTGTGCGTCACATCTATGGAATATTGAGACTATTTCAGGATTTTATTCTGGCAACGGTCATTGACACCGCCAAAAGATCGTCGTAAATAAACGCTGGAGTGCATGATAGTTTGACAGTGGTTCATTGTGGGTAATAATTAACGATGTTTTGATTGTACGAACTTCATAAAAATTGTATCAAGTTAGGAAAGAAATACACACGTCCACATAAATTTTATTGGTGTCCATAGACAATATCATTAATTTGCGCTACGTATAACTGGAGCGTAATTTTTAAAAGCGTCGAATGTTGGGAAATTTATGCGCTAATGAAAAAATCAAATACCAGATAATAGTTGTTTATTTTATGTAAATTATGTCAAAATTTCATAGAATTCCAAGCTACAGCAGGCAGTCGTTTTTATAAGCGGTATTTCAACACGGCGTAACGGTACCTAGCAGACGTGATGCATACATTTTTTGCCGCGGATTTTATAACATTTCTAATTCATGACAGCAACGTTTTGATAACATCTAAACTCAGGATAGTTGTCTCGAAATGGAAATGTCTGGAAATCATGTTAATTTTTTTTCCTGGAATGTTCTCGATCTATATTCTGCGATATTCCCAACATTTGTGAATTTATTGTATTGCATTGACAAAAGTATTCATCCGGCCCGTTTCAACACAATTTGAGTCATATCCGGCCCGCGGTCAAAAAAGTTTGGTGACCCCTGGATTAAACAGTTAGACGGGAAAATGAGTGAGGGTATGAACTGTTATAGGGGTCCGCGGCCCCCCAGTTCGCGAATCCCTGGTCTATGAAAAGAAAAAAATTGTTTTGACTTGAATCGTCTAAATGCGACCCATTTTTACCTCTAGCGAGTAACACTTTGGGACTGCTGTGATGACGTGTGATTAGTGAGGAGGATTTGGCTTTATACCTCCATTTTCATTGAGTCCCCACTGCTTCTAACAAAAAACTGCTGCTGTAGCCTCTTTGATTCACGGGAGCCAAAGCTTCTAGAACAAAGAGTCGCATGCGGCTCCGGAGCCGCAGGTTGCAGATCGCTGATATAGGTGAACGTCACACAACTCTGTGACAATTAATTGGATTCAATGAACCGGGAATAAGCGTAAAATTGATCGACCGGAAATATATCGTAGGTAAATTTGAAATGTGTAAATGTTTGTATAAGAATTTAATTTATTTATAGATAAGATGCACAGAAAAATTTAGTAACTTCACTTTGATTTCCGAGTAACTTGAATATTTTTGATGTCATCTGCCTATAGTATAGGTTTGGTATATGCTGTTTTTATCATAACTAGTTAGATATTTTTAAACCGGTTAAATTGAGTTTCTGTTTTAATAAAGCATAGACAACAGATGGAGGGGTGGCAAATACTGATAAGAAAGCGGCCTTTTTTTCTTGGCTTGGCCACGGATTGCTCCAAATATAAATACGTTAGTAAGGAATAATAATACATGTGTAATGGATGGCCTTACCATAATTTATGAACAAATGTATGATTACTTCCACTTTCTCGGTGGAGGGATAGATCGATATGAGTGTTTGTTTTTCGTTGAATATAAGAGCAGCGTGAATTTTTTTCCTATGGGTTTGCATACAAGAAATATATATAACAAATCAGAAAAATACTGGCATTTCATGCCCTTGTCACGTTCCCAACCGATCCCAAATGTCTTCATTGGATTTCTGTAAGCAATCGTACTATTGTAAGACTATGTTGACGAATATATTTATTCGATTTACTGTAAACAAGATAACGTTGACGTAGTATTTACTTTACTGGATATAAATATCTACAGTGCCGGACAACGAGCATTATAACATTTACTCATTTTGGAAACATTGTTGTTCCGATAGCAGTGTAGTAATTTTGTGCAAATCCAAGAAAAATAATAGCAATTGGGTTTAATATCTATAGTGATTGTATTTATGTTATTCTTTCTTGATTAACATGTCAGTTATTGCTCATTCAAGTTTTGTTTCTGGAATGCACGAACCAAACACAAGCTATACGCGTTATGTAGAAGGTGAATCAGATCATGATCCTACCATTGTGCAGCACCATGTACATCATCACCAAACTACATATTATCAGGGACCTGTATATCAAGGAAAATTTCAGGGTGATGTCGTTCAGTAAGTTCTGTTCTTATTTATAAATTCATTTTCTAAAGGAATTAGACTATTTGACGTGCCGAACTTATATTACTGTTATATTCCAGCATAAGATTTTTTTTATTTTTTCATAAATAAAAAATATAAATCACATGTTTTTAAGTTTAATTTTTCTAGCCACAATTCCTAGAGCTGTTACTAATATCCATTTTATAATATTTATAGGTCAAAAACGGAATTGAGAGACTCCAACGTTGGATCAATCGGAGGTGGGCTATCCCTATTCTCATCAAGTTTGTAATAATTAAGAAAGTAAAAATGAAACAACAGTTTTGTTGCACTGAGTCTATCAAACAGGTTCTCCTCATGTTGGAATGCCATGGGAGGGTTATGATTCGGACTCGCCAGGTTCCTCAACTCGCTACTACCAGCGTTATCAGCGAAATAATAGAAGACATGGAAGAGCAGCAAGACGCGAAGGTAAATGTTGAAGACAACGTTTTTTATTATAAGTGCTGTAGTTCGATTTAAGACTTGACAAAGAGCTTAGATAAACAAATATCCATTTGGCAAACAACATTTTGCATGAACATTTCATTTTAAGAAACAAAATACCCACAGCTACAAACGCCAATTAGTAAATAAACCACCATTCAACAATTACAGAGAATTATTACAGCAGTCACACTTCAATGTCCCATATAACTACAATACCATTATCCAAACATATGGTACAGCCGAGACTATTCAATGGCATCCATGAATCATTATATTGTCAAACTCAAATCATGAGTTTACTGCATACCATTCAGGAATTATAACTTTATTGAAAAATATTTCACGTAACCACGATATTTTTCGCATCATGGATGTAGTTTCCTCCTAGTAAAAAAGGTCGAATTAAAACGTAGCAGCCTGATGATAATATTATTCAAAACATTATTCAACATTTGAAGTCTCGGGTGCAGAGAAATTATAAGAAAAAATAACTAATTGCTTGATATTCATTAGATTTCAAGCTGAAGTAATCCTCTAAACGCTCCATCGTCAATCACTCAGTTGAAAGATGTTGTCGGCCTCCTTTTCGGTCCACGTAGGGCGTAAGCAACCTTTCCTAGAAAATGAGTCGTAGTTGAGGAAGTCGATGTCTGATAACTAACATGCATCTTCTTGACCTTCCTCGGTTACTAATTCATTAAGCGTATAGGATTGCTTTGTGAATTGCTGTATATTCATATGAATTGTATGTTTAAGCGTAAAAAGTTATCAGCACCACCATGGTCAGACGCAAATAGCACAACCGCTTTTTTGAAAGAGTTTTTGTTATCAGATATTCATGAATATAGATAGTTACGAGAAGAACAAAATGTACTTGATATTTTGCATTCCGGCATGTATTGTACAATAAAATGAAACTTTAGTGATGATAGTTCGTGTGGTGGAAGAGTGTTTGGCGAATACCCTGTAATGATGTCTTCGTATGAAAATTTGTACATACAGGGTGTGCGCGACGCTTTTATCGAGAAACCAGACGCTGCCATGAACAGCAGTGTGGAAGTAGACGTGTTGAACAGACCAATACGTGGAATAGTGAACAAACAACACCGAAAGCCATCTGTTCTGGAAGTGACTCAGAAACGATTCCAAAATCAATATGTGAGTGAGCATGTTGCATGTTAAATTGGTAGAGTGTATAGCGTAGTTACCTTGTAAATAATTTTTTTAATAGAAAATATTTATATTGGTGAATAATCATGCGTATATAATTTCCAAAGCCGTTACCCCCGATTGACAGTCAACAACTGATATCAAATTGGAATATAAAAGTACAGTTTAAGAAAACAGCTTTGCATTGTATATATAGAATCAAACAAGCAACAATTTTTTTAGTTTTTCTTTCACAAGGTGGGCTACGCAAATTGTATTCTCTATCATAAATTTACCGATATTCAAAATAACCTGTATCCAAAAGTGTTGGAGTCAAATAAAAAGTGATTTTTCTATATCAATTATCGCATTCGCAAATAGCAAACTGAATCATGTTGGGAAAAACTGGAAAAAGTTTGAGCCAATATTACGAAAGACTCCAGCATTGAAGTTGCAGCATTAAAATTCACAAGTAATGAATATTATAGGAGTGAAATATTCACAAAATAGACATTCCGTGGTAGATATCAATAAGTAAATGCAATATTCACGAATTACAGGAACGGACTAGACTTGACTCGTTTTTTCTATTTAGGTGGAAGAAGCTCGTCGTCCATGTCTTGTTCAAGTAGGAGCAATAAAAGGCATTCTGACCATGATGATGCATCAGTGACAGCTTTGAAAACACCTTATGAAGGTGACAAATATGCTTATAAATCACATGTTTGCCGTGGTAAAAGCGAACAACACATTAGCTTTTCAAGTTACTGGAAGAGACATGTTATAATATAAAAAAAATGCAAAGGTTTTTTCAAGTAAGCGTCTGTGACAAGCAGTAATTTTGTTTTAAAATACAATGACAGCTACAAGTATATTAACAAGTATGTAGTTCAGATTTTTTTCGAGTGATATGTTTGTTGGTAGACTTCCTTATTGGAGCCAGAGTGTAAGCATGGATTGCTTTGCCTAATTGTGATAAAATCATCCGATTTTCAAGTTTTCAAATATGTAAGAACATTCTAAAAAGCCAGTATTATCTTCTGTTTTTCCTGGGATATAGCGTTTTGTATTTAAAAAAATGACATAGATTAGATTACCCTCTGTTATTCTTCCATACCCGCATGCTCCAGCAACTGCCCACGGTACGTTGATATTTGAGCGAGATGTGATTTGATGTCAGGCCTACCAAAGCATGTTGAATTATATTTGGTATTAATCTTCATATTATTCCAGGCAGCAATTCAGGAGCATTATCTAGTTGGAGAAATCGCCCTGTTTGCCGGCGAAGTGAGGTTCATCCCTCGTTCACCAGTCCGAAAAAAATAAATAATCATGAAAACGGTAGATCTCCTTTTTGAGTTTATAGAGAAATATTTATTCAGTTTTTCTGTTCTGTGGAAATTAAATTGATAACAATTTTAAGTTTTCTTAGTCAGGTCTGGTGTATTTTCATCATATGTCTTGAAATACAGCCTGGAATTAGCAAGTATCTAAGATTATACCTAATTCCGTATATGAATGTAAGCACAGTTCTATTGGATTATTTCAGTGACACATTCAATACTTTGAACAAAGAATACCAGTATGAAATCTAATCAACATATATAGTACAATATGTTTAATATATTCACATTTCTCATTTTATTTACAGAACAATCGTCAACCGACACTGAATCGAGCAATGTTTTCCAAATCCATCTTGATAGTTTTACCTTTACCGATTCGGGAAGTGGTAAGTAAAATTCATTTCTGAATAAATTGAATTCTTGGTCGAAAAGGGCGGTCGCTGGAAACTTAGGAAACCATAATATACAGTACACAGACCAATGGAAAGCAAATATACTTGCTTGCAGTGATCGTGTGATCAAGAATATTCAAAAAATATTTTTGATACTGAAAACATTTATCATATTAAATACCATTACTCCAAAAGCATATAAAAACTAGCTTCGACATTGCTGTAGAAAATAACGTATTGGAAACTAACTAAAATCACTTGCCAATAACGTGCTTAAAAGTGAAACAAGTGAAAGCACTATTTCAAACAGAAGCTGCACCGATACAGCAAGACTTTGGGATTCCATATATTATTCTCTTTCAACATCTCGTTCGGTGTTTTCTGATTTAATGGGGGTGACTAACTGAACATGTAATTCGCCGGGCTCTGTTTGTGGTGCTGTATGACAATAAATTGTAGGGTAAAACTGCTAGTATAAATGGTATAATTAGATGTTTCGTATCTTTTCACTATCAAGACTCTGAAAATGCAGAATCTACGAACAACAGATCAAGGCGGCGGGTTCGAAGAAGAACTAACCCAAAGAAAATTGTCAACAGCAGATGTGGGGGACAAAGTTGCTGTTCGAGTAAGGACAGAATTCACTCATATTTTACGTATCTTTTCTTTGATTGCTAACCGCTGATACGTACAAATATAGTTAGAAAAAAAAACGAAATCTCAGCTAGATTTCTTTTTTATTTAATTTGCTAAAATTGATAGCAGCCTTAAATATTTTAAATGGTTTCAGATCGTCCTTCAACACATGTTCCGTTAAAAAAGTTCGACATTGAATCCCAAACAAGTCCGACACTGAAGCGGGAGAGAATGATACAAACTTCCGTAGAAATTTTGTACGACACTGAAGCTCAAACAGATAGCGCCTGCACGAGAGATAGGAAATCTCAGACAAGTTTAAAAACAACTGACAGTGATACGCAAACCTGTAAAGAAGTTGTTTTAAAACGAAAATTGTGTAAACAAGATTCGGCACTTTCAGACAACTCAACGCAGACATCCATTAAATTGAGTTTTGAGAAGGACATTCAGACTGTACAGAATTTGAGATTAAGTAACCATACCCAAACTACGATAAAGTCTGTTTCAACAATGGAGATTCAAACTGAATCGGGATTCGCAGCAACCAAATCAACACAGACAGATGTAAGCACCAAACTCGGAGATACTGAACGAAATGTTGCTCCATGCATCGACAAATCCCTTCAAGAGTCTTTTTACATTCTATCCCAAAACGACGAGGAATCGACTTCGGCAAAGGAATTCATCAAACGATATAAAGAAGAAGGTAACTAACATTACTGCTGAAGTTTATAATTTTACAAAATATCACAAAGCACAACTTTGAGCTGTCATTCCTCAGTGAAATGGCTTCAAGTGATGACACCACACCATAGTACAGCAGTTGATAAGATTTAAAATTGTATGTTTTTTTTGTAAACATATGAACTCTTAACTTACTGTCGAGATATTATCTCCATCATAAAACAATAGGATGATATATATATAGGCCTACGCTAAATTTATATGAATTAATATTTATAATCCTGCTTTTAAATTGATTGTGTTATTTATTAATGAAGAGCAATTTTTTTATTATTTTAGAAATAACTATATCACCAGCGATGAAACAAAAATTCCTTAATATGTTACCGCTGATTCTCATAGTTTGGAAAATTATTTGGAACAAATTGGCGATATCTTCTTTTCAACGATGCCACAAGGATACGGAAAACGGAGCTTGGGCAAAGATGAGTTACATCCTGGCCTCTTTACGTTTAAAAGATTTAGAAAGTCACAAAGGTTTGCTACCTTACGTATCAAAATTGAGTGATGTCATGATAATGGGAAAAGAATTAACAAACAACAACAAATTTTTTCACGCTACAGTTGCATTTTACGCCGCTGCCAAACTGCAGGAAGTTAGTGGCAACGGGGACAAAGCAATATGTGGAATAAGAGAATGCGTTCATGGCTTGAGACTAATTTCAAAATCATTAATCAGATATACACAATCGAAGAATATTGTCCGAAATCACTTAATCCCGTTTATGTATGATATGATTGAGTTTCAGAAACCAATACCAGGTTCGACTCATAAAGTTCGTATCGAAATGGAAGCGTGTTCCCTCTTCTGTACAGCCCTCGCGTATTATTTTTGTGGCGATCACGAACACTATGTCTCAGTAAACGAAAATGCGATTGATTTGATGAAACGAGAATTTGGGGAAGAAGTTCTTGGACATCACGTTTACGGACTTTGTTATCTGAACGTTGGGGTCGGATACGAGAGAATGGAAAAGTTCAAGGAAGCAGTGGAACGATATAGAAAAGCGCTTGAAATTTATCGAACTGCCCTCGATTGGGGGAGCAAGAAAGAGAAAGAAAAAATTATAGTTTTGACAACGAATGATCTTGAAATTGCCAAGAAAAAAGTCGACAGAGTGGCATGAAAGAAATTGTCAGTACCATACAATGCCTATCGCAGTATCAAAACGATCACATGCCTAGAAGAACTTCAATGTCGATGAGAAGTTTCTATTAAAGTGATTTCAAGAAGATGCAAAATGGGACTGGGATGGGAACTTAACTACTTTAACTATGAATAAGAATAACATAATCTCTTTCCACGAAATAGCAGGTGTATTCGTTAGCTTTCGTGAGATGAAGGTCTAACTTCTTCAGACCAAACAACTAAGACCTAACGAAGGATAACCTCCATGCACTTGCTATTTTGAGGACAAAAATTATTTTATTCTTATTCATCACTTTGATACACTAGATCAAGTTTCTTTGTAGCTGCGGTTACATACGGATCCGAAATAGGAAGTAGACAAGGAGAAAGGACCTGCATTTCAATATATATATATATATATATAATATCCTATTTCTTCCTATTACTTTTGAAAGTTAGCAATGTGTACTTGAATTTTGCATTGCGTTTTTAATATTTAGTTTAGCTAGTTTACTTGAGGGTTGAAGTCTGGCTCATAACACAGTCGCTCAGCCATAGTGTGGGTTATTATTGCGAAATCGCGCTATGTTACTTTAGGTCAGGATAGCGTAGCCGTAACACATCCAAATGCGAGGTATGGCATGACTTTTTCTCGTTACAGGCATTTGTGAATGATTTACAAAACGTACGGGCCTGTATAGTTCCGCATCGACGACTTGTTAGGTTCACAATGTATACCACCAGTTACAACGGTATTCTGTCGAAGTATTTAGTTCAATGCAATCAGCAGACTTTTATGGTCAGTGAAATGATTGTTTATCCGTAAAATGGCCGTTGTGGTATCGCAAGGAAACAAAATTTAGAGATAATAAAGTATCTTTGAAGTATATGACAATGTCTGAACAGCCAGGCCCGAGTCAATCTCAATTTCAAACCAATATCAGCGTAGCATCGGGAGCTGTATTACAATTACAAATCGGCCATGGAAGTACAAATAACATATTTGAAACGATTGTCAGCATTGTTAATAATATGAGTAAGTATAAATTTTTATTATTTTATTAAAACCCTACGGCCAGCAGCTTACAATCATTTTATCCGTTAATTCCTATATAAATTGAGAACATCACTGTTTTGAAAGTTTTGATTTGAATCACACATCCTGCTATTTACAATTTGCTTATAATATTGTATGTCAACGTGTTAGTATGCTATGCCTATGTTGCATAATACACGAATAAGGTATCAATACCGAATCACTGATAATTTATACTATAAGATGAACAAAATAGTGTATTCATATTACTTGAATAGTATTTAAAATCCAAAATTTATTTAAAATCTCAACTATTAAATCAGTGTAATGTTATGAATGCATGTCATGTTATACCATTCACTGATCATGGGTAATGCAGGAATGAAGTTTATCGACTGCCTTCGATTCGAATACAAATACATTATCGAATTTTTATTTGCTTTGTTACTGAATTACGATCACCAGGTTTTGCTATTTTCATTATTTGAATAGGCAGCCTAGTAAACAATCAGCAATCTATTAATACCGTTATCCAACTGCGCATGCTTCTGAATGCTTCCCTATAAGCCATGTAATGCTTCTAAACATTATCCATCAACATCGTGTAAAATACTTAGTATGTGAATAAAATCCTGTTTTATCGTCAGATAAAAGGCCAAATATTTCAAGACAACAATCCGTCGAGTGTTACAAAGAAGATAAGCAAGATAGCTTTGACAAATGTAAATATTATTTTTAATGTTTTGATTTCACATTATGTCTAGCATGAATTTCAAATTCCACATGATCAAAATGTGAAATATTCGCGGCACAAAAGATTTCTAATGAATAAAGTCAGATATTTTAATCACCTATGCATTTTTTAATTAATCTTAATATAATAAATTACTTCAGTGATCAGAGAAATCGTGCTATTTCAAACTCTTCAAAACAGTCAAATTTTAACACTTGGTGCTACGGCCGACCACTTTGCAAGAACGGGAAACGAAACGGAATTCATAAAAACGTTAGAAAAGTTTGACGAAATCACAAAATCGCAATCGGGCATTGGTATGGATACAATTCAAGCTTTAGGAGAAGAGTGGGAAAGAGAAAAGAAATTTTTTCGTGCCATAATAACATACAGAGCAGTATCGTACTGGCTTGTCTGCAAATGTGACTCTAGCACAACTTTTGACGTAAATGAAAAGTTGTCGTCTGACAGCCGTGACAGTAAAGGCGGAGGAGCCAAAGCCGGTAAAACTGGTACCTTCAGTGAGGCTGACGCGAATATCATTAATGATGATAATGTAACACGCCAAAATCCAAGAGACGAAGACTGTTGTGTTAACAACAGAAACGCGGATACAGGCGACCATTCTCTTAAAAAAGGCTCGACAAATGTTGAAAAGAAGGAAACGCTTTCCACCGATGACGCAGCAGTTCAAATGGCAGGAAGCGCGGATACAGGCGACAATTCTCTCAAAAAAGGTTCAACAAATGTTGAAGACGAGGAAACTCTCTCACCCGATGACGCAGCACTTAAAATGGCAGAATGCATGTCTTCTATAGCAAGCGCAACGAGTGAAATGCAAAAGGAAGGTGGACAATACCTGCCTACTTTGAGACCATACATAGTTTCCTTTGCTAACGAAATACTAACTAATTTGAAGGATATAAAAAACGTTGAGAAAACGGCAAAAATGTACGCCGAAAGCGCTACTTTACTTGGTATGTCTCTTCTACATACAGAACTTGAGAACTGGCAAGATGCTGCAGATGTTTCCCACACAATTGACAATATAATAGGTGGTGAAGTTGATGAACTATCGCAATACTTAAATTTCTACAATAAGTACCTATTGGCATATTGTAATTACGGATTGAAAAAACGCGACAAAGCCCTCAATATCGTGACAGATGCCATCAATGACGTTACCATCTCAGATACATTGGATGAAGAAGATAAGCATGAAATAATGTCGACAATGATTGATTTGCAAGAACTTCTGAATGACGATGCTTCAGATTCATCTGAAACAAAGATTAATTTGTATATATTTATTTATGCCTATATATATAATATTTTCGGGAACTCAATTCCTACTCAATATAAGAGCAATCCATTTATAGTCCATAGCTGACATGGGCAAGCTCCGGCCCGCGGGCCAAATCCGGAATGTGGTGTAATTCAATCTGACCCGCTTGACGCTGCCACAATCAAACTGAAACCAAATTTAATATTTTAGATAAAAATCAACTTGTAGAATTTGTTGAGATTGCGCTGAAATGTAGTTTTGACACGAGGCTTATTGATTTCCATTTTCCTTTTGTAACAATGTAAATATTGTTCACAGAATGTAACTTTTTATCTCACACTTACGTGACCCACCAGTTTAGATAGACGGAATTTTTGGTCTCTGGTCCAAAAACGAAAAACTTAAATCAAGTGTTTTGAAAACTGCGAAAATGTTGCAGTGTCTGATCGTTATAGGTCAGGAATTTTCTTCATGTGTCTTTCGACCTTATTGACCTTGCGATCCAGTCCACCTCCTGACTATATTTTATGATCATTGTTTTTTTCTGCTACAATGTTCATTTTCATGATAATCAAAAACAAATTATTATCTTTTATTTTGATCTATCGTAGTTAAGAAGATGGCAGTAGTAATTCATGTACCCTATGCTGCGCGACGTCATAGCTTGTATCGCAAACTAATGCGGTGTCCATCACAAAAACAAATGCGGTACCCTGTCATTGCGGTGTCGGCCCACGCAACTGAATTTACATCACTGGCCATGCTTTTGGGGAAGTTTTTGAGTTTTAGCATAAGCAATGTTGCGTGGAACGGTTCTGGGATACGCGCGATCAATTGTGTTTTTTCGCGTGATTTAGTGAAAAATTTAACCCATGATCAGCCGGCGGAGTTACCGTGAATTGCTAGATACTAAAACTAACCGTGAGAGAAAAATTTGCGCAACCGTGTTTTCAAATGGTTTAGTGCCTTATTATAAACGGAAAAAAGTTTGTTGAAACATGATTAGTGCGAGAGAAAAACATTCAAATTGCTTTGACTGTAATTAAATGATTACTCTGAAATATTCCGACGTTTTTAAAAAAAAATTATTTATTGATAGTAGAAACACGTCACTACATACACATACACACAAAAGAATATGAGCATAGATGACGTCGTTGACGAAGATGGTCCAGACCGTGTCACGTGGGATTTTTGCAAAGGAAGGAAAATCGTGCAGACCGAAATAGGGATAAGGCCGTCGCTACAATATCAACCAATCATTTACAATATCTACATTTTACAAAATTTAAGTTTCACGTTTGAGTATATATATGTTGAATGTTGTTTTAAACTTTATAGTATATTTAAAACATGTATGCTTCCGTTGTTAATGGATGCCTTTCTTATAAATGGTGTTATTGCATTTTCCCTGTTTGCTCATAATCCTTTTACCCCCAACTTGCCTACTTTGAAATTGAAACATCCTGTTTCTAAATTTAGCCCAAAAAACCTAGACATTTAAAGTCGCGTGAATCACATAACAATGAGTAGATATTCTGAATTGTTTTACTTCGCTGTCCTTGCTGTAGCAATGTGAAACTTCTTGAATCAAATTGATGAGTGAGGTTCAGATAATCTTTGTTTGTAATCGACTATGATATATATAGCTTCTGGTAGATTTTATACGTTTAACCTTTAATAACAATGAGCCGTAGCCATTTGTCTCTGGATAACGTGTATATCAATAAACTTGGTTGAAGAAAAATTATTCTATATTTTGTTCTTTGATCGATTTTGAGACTTGTTTTAGGCGAATCGTTTTTATAATAAAATAGCACACATACATGTATATGTTGCCGGCAGTATATTTGTTTATCAATAAAACAATTTTCAAAAACAATTAAAACAATCACTGGTTCAGCTTGTTTTTTTTCTACATTGAATATTATCACAAAATCAATATATATTATACATCTACCGATATATATTTACAATTTTTAATAAAATAAAGATACAATTCAAGTTTTTAACTTTAGGTTGACGAAAAACTGGATATGACATTACCAGTGTGAAATGTAAACTTTTTTCTATAAAATGATAGACAATAGTTAAAACAATGAGAAAATACTAGAATATATGACATTACCGTCAAATGAATGACCGCAGTACATCAGTGGCTTCTGCGAACTACACACAGAAATCTTTCATCTGCTTCATGCCATAGCAATTCGCAAAGGTACCGGTAAGTCTTAGCTGAGAACCGGTTTCCAAAAAATAACGGCATTTGAAGAAAAGTGACATTGCCATATTTAAGTACAGGGATTTTAAATTGATTTAGTTTACTAGCTGCGGTGAAAACTTAAATGTGTCCAATAAATAAATGTAAGTGTAATAAATAGGTGGCAAATTTAGTTTACGTTTTGCGGACGTTCGTGTTTCTCAGGTTGCAACGCCGCAGCGTTAATTCGAATATGGAGATGCTTCAAATAGTGTGTTTTTGATGGTTGACACAGTGTCATTATACACATAGGTTTTGCAAATTGAAATATTGCAGTACATTGCTTTAGGTATAGCAGAAGTTTGAATAACGGGTTTACATATATACGTGTTATGAACTCCCAGATCTGCCATTATTTTATAAGACCCCATATATAAGTTACAAAAAGTTGGAAACCGACAAAGATTAATTGAGAATGAATTCATGCGGCTGGTGGCAGCATGTCGTTTCTACGCTAATGCTACTTGGGTTACAAATTTCGCGCATAATTGCACGATGTATTTAAAATAATATTTATTATTACATTTGCCACCAGAGATCAAACAGCTCATATTATCATCCAATTCAAAAACACTCGATTCAATTTTGTTTTAATAGTCTAACGTTGAAAAATTTGATAATAGGCATAACCGAAATCTGATACTTGGCTGTGTGTGAGAATCGAAAATAAATATGTAAAATATTGAAAAATCCGAATTATCAATATAACAATATGTTAAAACTCAAAAAACATTATCGAAAAGTATGACCAGCAACATAAAACCAGTCCTGTGGCCCTACGCCACATCGAACACGCCCTCAGCCTAACATAAAACGATGCGCAGATTTCCTTTCAAGGTTAGTTGTAAATATCTAATTATTCACGCCAACCCTGTTCGATAATAACGGGAAATTTTTTTTACTTAATCCCGCGTTGATTTCTTCATAAATCTTCTTTGATTTTTTTTATTCGCGAAGAACGAAATATTTGAGTTTTACGATGTTTAATGAGATGAGAATAAGAAATTGGATTAGTTCGAGAATACATTTATTATGAAGTTAGAGATAACGCAACGTATCGCAACTTCAAAATTATTGTTAAATAAAAATACTTTAGTTTTGTTTTTTGAGTCGTTTGAGATACAGTTTTTAGAATTTCGGTATAGCCAATCAAAAACCAAATTTTAATACAGTACTTATGTGATTAAAATGTGTTTTCAGTAAGTTTCATGTGTTCAGATAAAGCTGCAATGAAATGGTTGGAAATAATACAGGCATTTGTAAATAAAAAATATAATTTGTGTCAACTATATCATTAAAAGAATACGAAAAGAGCAATTCTCGAATATGTGGACACGAAAGCGAAAACGAAGTAGTATGTGTATCGGTATACAATCTGTCACAGTAGACTAGCGCAATCTTCGCGACTTAAAGCAAACGCGGAACCACCACGGGTTGCGGAATTTTTGATGACGTCATGGCACACAAAAACAAATCTCATAGAGTCTACAGAAATGTTTGAAATACAGTTTTTCAACCACTGAAAATTTTAAAGCGATTGGTCCAATAGTTATGGAGAAAAGCGATTTCTTTTCACAAAGAGAAGAGAAAAAAGAAAGGCGCCCATAGTATGTGCAGCAAGATGGCGGACACCTGAACATAGTATATGTACCAAGTAAGGGTTAGGCCATGATTTTATTTCAATTTTCCTTGTTCTGGTTCTATCAAGAGTTCGGGGATTAGCCAAGTGATTCCCGTAGTATTTGTACATGAAATTATGGCCTAATCCCTAATCTGATACACATAATACGTTCCGGTGTCCGCCATCTTGTGGCACATACTACGGAAGTCCCAAAAGAAATACTAACAACAAGATGATTAACAACCAACGTAATAACAAAACGATCCACATGTACATTTCGTGTCCATAAACCGATTGCAATGCAGATCACATTATTTTGTAGTCGCACAGGGTACACACTTTGATACATGCGTGAAGGATAGACTGAAATTATTTGACATCATTCAATGATTGTTCCTATTATAAGTTAATCAATGATTCATGGCATGGAAAATTTAATTTAGATATAACAGAACACATTGCTTGCTTTCTTAAATAATAGACTCGGCGCTGTGATGACACTTGTTATCAACGGACCATAATAGTCGAGATATTACTCGTCATCATCTTCAATATCGGTCAGTAATATGTTTAGTATTTAAATTGGATATTCGATCTGAGCAACTTGCGGTACATGCACTTCCGTATTGTTCCTAAACAACACGTTTGTTGTACTTCAAACTTTTCAAGTTTAACGAATTATATAGGTTGAATGGACTTCAGCATTCATGATTAAGACTAAAAATTGCTTGAGACGCAATTTTATTCAACTGTGTGGACTGACTCAGTTTAGCTAACTTTATTTAGGTATCGAATACTGACTGTCGTATATAAAAGCTATTGTTTTTTCGATGATGTTTTTTCTACAGTCAGCCTGGTGTTAAACCCAGTAAGTAAATGAAGAGTCCCGGACATCGCGTCGATTCTGGGCGTCACTTTCATGTCTACAGACTCGACATATGGTATTTTTCATTTGAAGTGACTTCGAATTTTTATCGTGTTCGGAAGTGAATATGAAAATCGAGAATTGACGATATAATAATTCTTTAGGTAGGTATAACTAATGTATCAAATAAAATTAATAAATAAAAACGAGTTTCCAATGATTTCAATAGGTCGAGGTGTCGTGTATCAGAGAAAGTTTCACAATAGATGTTTTTCGTTACCAAATGTTATTAATTTTAAAATGAGTTTCCGTCTATAGTTGGAATAGAAAATTATTATTTGACAACGTTCATAAAATATCTAACACTCGTATACGCAACCTGTTGAAAGCTTTATAACACGAGTATGGACGTATATACCAATTCCCCAGAAGTAGAAGAAAATGAATACGAAGAATATGAAGTTCCAGTATCTCGCAATGACACAACACAAATGACACAACACAAGGAAACCGATAGTAAGAAGATGTTTTATGTATGTTCAAACATCAGAATCTAAAATAATTTCTTATATGTGAATTTTGAATGCAAAAGACAAATAAATACTAATTCATATACGTGATTGGCTCAAGTCAAAATGACACTAACGAAAAAGTTTTTTTTTTTTCCTTTGAAGGCTCTCAAAAACAAAAGAAATGTAAGAGAGACATCTTGGGCTGTTCGAAGAAAGAAATCCTGCTAGCATCACTTGCTCTCCTCGTAACTATACTTCTGATGTTCATCGTCTGTTTGATATTACTGATTCAGGTATGTAAAAAATGTTAAAAATATAGTGTCTTTTGGATTATATATGGATTTTCGTATCTATCGCGGAAGAAGGGAAAGCCGATAGAACGGCTTAATCATATGGCGTATTGTTCGGCTACCAATCCGTGTAGTGTATGAGATTAGTCAACCAATTATTTGTTTCAGTTGTATAGACTTGATGATGGAGAAAGCCGTACCCGACCAGCAGTAACGTTGGCTATACCATACGACGGCGAGACCTCTCACACAATGAAATGGAGAGGAACAATTTATCTAATATATTGATGGGAATATAAAGAACACCTTACTTTACTTTGCAATTGTTCAGTAATGATTCGTTAATGTTGAAAGAGAATATTTTTATACGCTGAAGCACTTTTGCACTTCATTAGAAACGTTTACGCGTGTTAGCTTTGTATGTAGTGCCACAAACAGGTCGCCTAGTTTTGTAATGGAGGCTTGTTCATTTTTATTAACATGTACTGCGGTAAAAAATTATGATAAGTTTTATGTTCACAGATCAAGTCGCAATTGGAGTATACAAACGGTAAGACAATGATTTTTAAAACTAGATCGCAGCGTTGGTGTGATGTTTATCAGCGTATATATCGCGTCAATTAGTGCATGCATCTAGTAGTAAAAACTGTTCGTCATCTAATCAACACACGAAATTTGTAAGTTCTACATAACAAGCATTATCCGAAAATATATGTGCCTGCAGAGCTATCATAGATCGACGACCTATTCTATACAGTAGCCTACAGGACTTGGAATTAAAAGCAGTCTATTTTGTCCTCCCAAATTATTCGAAACAAGATTTTTATAGAAAAATTGGGTTAGAATTGTTATAGAAATAAAAGATTTGTTATGGAAATAAATTGGGTTCTGAGTTTGGGGGTAAATATATATTAATAAGAAAGTATAACGTTACAGTAGGCATATGGCGAGCTCGTGAGTCGCAATAGGTTTTCCTAAATGGAAGCAACTAAGTTAGAGCGGGCAGAAGAGAAATACAATGGTTGATGATGCCTGTTCTTATGGTGAATTGCAGTTACACGTTGAGTTAACAATTTAATTTGACATTGAATTGTTTCCGACTTTTAGAAAGGTGTCGTGGAATACCAGAACTACCGTCAAACGAACATGTAATTACAATCCAAGATGAAACAGGTAAATAAAATGGTTATATTAGTCAATTACACAGTAGTGAATGCATTCGTTGTTGAGTTATTTAAATTTTGTTAGTGCTGTATTTATCACGCAAGTCCGAATTCAATTCTACTTTGGTAGAATCACAAATTGTTAAAAATTTGTAAAAGAAGCAACTACATATATAATGTAAATCACATCTTCTCACATCACACGTCCAACTCAGAGCTAAACATCGAAGATAATGGCAATAAACTTTGGATTCTAATTTACAATATTCTGCAATATATATATATATATATATATATATATATGGTTCATTATCTTTGCACCCCCAGAGTGTATTTCAAGTTGGAATTCTACGATATTATACTGAAATGAATTTTTACTATGAACCTTTTTATATTTTCGTTGTCAGAAGTCTTCGACGGTATTCTATCATTCAACGGATGTGCTGAATTCAGACATGACGAGGAGAGAAAAGGCAAAATAGTCACAGACTCACAAAACACTGTAACTTTGTATCCCTTCAATAGTCAAACCAAATCGATTATCGTGGATTGTGTTTATAACGGGACCGATTCCTGGCTGGTGAGACATATTATATAAATTATGTTATATCTGCACTACATTCACACATGCATAAAATCGACGAAACAAAGGCAATGTACCAATAGTGAAAACCACTAATCTTTGTATGAAAACTATGTTCCGTGGCGTGTCCGAAAAATTCGCCGTGGGAAATTTCGCCGTGGGAAATCTCGCCGCAGGAAATTTCGCCGCATAGGAAAATTCGCAAAAGCATTTTGCTGTAAGTATTTATGATAAAAAGAGTTGCTCATCTTTATTAAATAAGGCGATTTTTCCTATGCCGCGAAATTTTCCTAGAACCGTTCCGTGGTACCAATGGTATACCATTTGGCACATAAAAAGATATTTCACACACACATATATATATATACTATATATATAGGCTATTGTATTTGAGAAATTGTAATATTGTTATCAGGTGATACAACGACGTCTGCATGGAACTATCAGCTTCTATAGAGATTGGGAAAGTTATGCAAGTGGGTTTGGAAAACCAGGCGATGAATATTGGATTGGTGAGTTAGTTTCATCTCGAATTTCACAACATTTTCATTAATTTAACCTGATACAAAATCTAGTAATTATTTTTATTTCAATTCTTGACATAGATGAAGCTCATAGATTTCAAATGCAGGCTGAGTAATGCTTAATGATTAATACAAAATTGACACTCAAATTTTTGGGATCACATAATCCAACCTATTTAATAATTTTCAATAAACATGAAGTGCAAAGATCAATGAAGTGCTGTAACCATGCAGTGGTGGAATTCAGTCGGTTCGCACCGGTTCTATAGAACAGTCTCGCGGAATTTTATGAGATCAGCGAACCGGTTAGCATTACTAAAAAACATATAACAGAACCGGCCGAAAAATATGACTTCTGTGATGGAACCGGCTGCCAAAAATTTGGATCTCACCACTGGCTGTAACCTAATATTTTTTAGTTGTACGTTTGTCGGAACCAGTTGTATTATATATATATATAGGTAGGCTACAATATACATAAGTCGGACTAGTGATTACAAATCTATATTGAATCTATATACAAATCTATATATCTATATTGAAGAATTTCTGTTTATGGTGACAATAACTGCAGTATTCAAAGTATGTGGGATCTTTATTACAAACATTACAATGTACTATATATATATACTGAATTCGGGTATAAAAATTCGTACAACTATAGACTCCTTTGAACGCGGGATCAGTAGCACGTCAGAAGCAGCATTTTTAAACTATCACAGGTCTACGCAATCTCCATCTACTGACGTCTGGGCAAAATTATCGCTTGCAAATAGTGTTGACCAGTTGGGAGGATGTCACGAAAATAGCCGAATACAGGTGAGATAAAAAAAAAATGGGTACTCCTGAAGTATGCGCACCAAGATGTTGTACAACCTGAACCCTGCCCTGGTACACACCCCGAGTTCAGGCTGTGCGCTATCTTAGTGCGCATACTTCAGAGGTCCAAAAGATGTATTGCGTAAGTCAGTGGTTCTCAACCTTTCACTGACCGCGTACCACTTTTGTATTTTTACCATGGCCGCGTACCGCTGCCAAAATCGCTTTTGTGGCGAGGAACAATGGCACAAGAAACGCTCTATGGTAGTATTTTATGTGGCACTACATCCATTTTTAGAGCTTCGTGCAAAGTTTCAACCTATTAATTATATGCAGTAACAACGTAATAATCGCGTGCAAAATCACGAGAGAATTTGCGTCGTTTACCGTCAGAGCTGAAAGGCTCTAATCATCGCCATCACTGAATTATCGCAAAATTCTTACAAGTACACTTTGGTCGGCGCCAGTCGCTATCCGGAACTGCCTAACCTAATCTTCAAATTTTTTGACCTCAAAAGTCAAGATTATGCCGATCAGCCAACACATACATTAGATAATAAAAGTAACATCCTTGTGATGGTATCTCGACACGCGTCAACCACCTTTCCGAAGTCCAAACTCTCTCTTCGTTGCCTATTTCCCAATGCAGATGCATTGTGGACGTAACAAATAAAACGGGCGAAAATATGCCCGCCTCGTTTCCTTTAAGGTGGGCAGTAGCGGGCGAGAGCGCTCTATAAACAGAAGGACTGGTAACGCTATAAACTATTCAGCTAATACATAAAGCGTTTCTGTCATATTTTAGCGACATCAAAAGTCGGTTGTTGCAATAATTCGAAGCTTCTCGCGTACCAATTGAAAAGCCCCCGCATACCACTAGTGGTACGGGTACCACAGGTTGAGAACCACTGGCGTAAGTGGTGACTTGAACAGGATAGTTTATAAATATAATACGTAAATACTCATTCCTAAATATGTTTTTAAATGAAGGGATAGATCTACGGCTGACGATGTAAGGGTATTCCTAGATTTACATAACGGGAACTGATAGTGGGCAATAAAGATAGGCAACCACTGAATGAACACAAATATCTTCATCTCGCGTTCAAAAACTTAGCTATAGTCCCCCTAATAACACTTTCATCAATAAATTTTATTTTTAAATTCGTAAGAATTAAAACTATTATAATGTCGTTTTTTTTTGCAGCTCATTTTATATCGCAAACGAGCCTTCCAACTTTTCCATAGCGATATACGGATACTCGGGAAATGCCGACGACGGTATGACTTACCACAGCGGCCAATCGTTTTCAACTTACGACAGAGAAAATGACGAAAATATTGGAAACTGTGCTAAAAGGTACCACGGAGGCTGGTGGTATAAACGTTGCTACCACGCAAACCTTAACGGACGATACTATAACTCGTCAAATGGCATCGAAGGTGATGGTGTGGCCTGGTCCAAATGGCTTGGTGATTTTTACTCTCTCAAATCCGTCGAGATGAGAATTCAGCCAAATCCCATGTGACCAATAACATACTTAATACCGGGGATGGCAAGCCCTTTTTAATAAACGAGTCACAAACTATATTTTTAATTACGTAGAAGCAGGCTATGGGTGATAGATATTTGAACATTGTCTGCATCAATGAGCGACTTGCTGCTGCATCTTACAGTTTGATCTTCACAAAGGCCGACTTATATCAAGACTAAGACGATTTCTGGAACTATCACATTCACTCGAGAAACACGAATATATTGTTACGGTAAATCCTTTATTGGTACGAGGAGACTTAGAAACGGAAATCACTTCGAGAGAATTATATTCTCATATAAAAGTTACAACCATCCAGCACCATTGTTGTTTCGGATTTCCGTTGTGTACTTCATTCCACGTTTATGCATGCAATGGTCACTCACCGGGCCACCGACAAAGCACGGTGGGTCACTTTTTGACCCAAGGGTCAGTGGTTCGCCATCCCTACTTTATACCAAGTCAAAATACAGATTTTTCAACTTTATTTACAAATTCATACAAGAGCCATATGATACCATCCTCGATAATTTAGAAGCTTCAAAGGGAATTTTTTCGGAGTGTAACCGGAAGAGAGTGTAAAAACCATTTTTCAGAATTTGGCGTGGCACTGAAAAAAATATGCTAAAATTCTCTGATATATTCAAAGCCTGATAAACTAATGATTAAGCAGTTGAATATGCTTCAATACAGCGCTGCCTATGTATTCTCGAGTCGAAAATAAATGGGGGAAATTTCTTGGATAAAATGAATTAAGTATTTTCACAAGCGCCGACTAAACCATTTCAAACGTGAAAAATCTCAGCAAGACTAAAAATGATTGTATACACATAATAGAGTAAAAACAGGAGCACATTTCTTATGGATTTAGGCATATCAAATGCAAGATACTAGCAATGTATGGACAATCATTCAAGATACTACTACAATCCAACTGCAAACGAATGTACAGTGCTTTCAACAACCATTTTCTTGTTTTCAACCTCCTCCATCTTCAGATTAAATCAGCAACTGTAATATAAATTGAGAATCATATAAAACGTCTTTTTCTTAAAGAATAGGATAAGATTTACATATTCATCCCGGAGGAGAGAAAAGTTGATGAGACAGCTTAATCATATGCAGAACCATGGCTTTTCGTCTAGTTACCAGTCCATGTCGGGTATGGGATTAATTAGCCAGTTATTTGTTTTCGGAAGTATGGACTTGGAGGAAGCCGTCACCAACCAGTGGTTATGTGAACCACCCTAAGGAGCCTATGGGGTGAGCTTTTCTCAATCACATAACAGCATAACCCTTAATTGGGATAGAAAATTGCCCATATGGAGAGATTATTTCTCAAAACTAAAGTACTTATAATGTTCAGGAGTCTCAGAAATTTTTATGCAACTGCATGAACTTCAAGCAATTCTGGTACATCCCAAGGTAGCAGTACAGAATACATTTTGTTCAAAGACTGACTTGCAGTTGTCGGCTTGCCCAACAATTGGTTAGTGTTGGCCATATTGCAAGTCACTGAAAGTACATGTAAAAAAACAAAAAAGTATGGAGAAAGCCCAATGTATGAGAACATTGTCCACTTACGATTATAAATTCCGATTACCAATACGTTAGACATTTTGAACTTTATTTTTGAAGCGAATCTCAACTTCCAATGTTCTATATATGTATGTGTTTTTTAATAAAGCAGTGGAATATGCTATATTTCACTTTCTGAAATTTGGATATCGTCGTACATCACACAAGAAAATGGCAACTTCGATTTATGAATTCTTATCTTAGAATAGATCTCGACATGGCATTAATTATAACTTTCCAGCAAAACAAATTATTTAGACATCCTTTTTTAGTTTATTTGGATTTATTACCTGTTTCTGGATTTGAAGTGGTTTTGATATAAACAAAAGGCTATAAACAAAGGCTTGCACATGGCAAAGTTTTCCTTGCTAAAATTTGATTTTGTCAGCTTGGGTCGAAATCTACATTTTCTACATACATCTACATTTTTGACCACCATAGTCATGGTAACTTTTTAAGATTCCACATCGTTGGAACAGAACAAACAGATACAAAAAACAATTCATATAGCATCGAAAAGAACGAAATTCCTCACCATTCATGGGCATTTCATCGATCTGTGTACTGTAGTACTGTTCAATATCACGCAAGATACGAATGTCATCATTTTTCACAAAGTTGATGGCGACACCCTTTCTTCCATATCTTCCCGATCTACCGATACGATGAATGTACAACTCACGATTGTTTGGCAGATCATAGTTGATAATCAAAGATACCTGTGGAACATCAAGCCCTCTCGCCCATACATCAGTGGAGATGAGAACCCGACTAAATGAAGGGTAAATGAAGCAAACTATGAAATCATAATATTCACTATCTAGCTAACTATCGAACTGCACAGAACAGAAATGAGTCCTAATCCTTCTGTTTCGAATTGATTTCAAATATAAACTGGGAGAAGGAATGTTAAAAATATTTCCACGAAAACTTAGAACATAAAATTTTTATTTTTATTTTCAACCTTTCTTATTTACATTGTCATCAAACAAATACCACGATTAATTCACGAGGCATTACTATTTGATTCAATATGCAAAAAGTACAAAAAATTCACCTGGAACCAGATCGAAATTCTTTCATAATTTCTGTTCTTTCTTTCTGTGGCATGTCACCATGCATTGACGATACAGTAAAGTTTGCTTCACGCATTTTCTCTGTCAACCAATCAACCTTTTGAACAAAAGAACTAAGTTAACTTTCTCAGTATTTTTCATAATTATTCCAGTGGAGAGGAATACCGATGAGACAGTTTAATCATAGACAAACCATGGCTTCTCCCCCAGTTATCAGTGCATGTTGGGTATGGGAATAGTTGATGAGAATGAACTTGACGGCAGAATGAGCCATAACCGACAGCGATTCAGTGTAGCAATAACCTCACAAATAAATATCGCCCACATGATTCAAACCTGTGACCTGTGCGGGTGCGATGAAAAGCATGTTCTCTACGCTCACGACAAATGCCGAGCCCCTCTAGATGTGGCTACGAGCACTTGTGAAAAAAACTCTGTAAGAGTTCAAAATAGCCAATTGTTATCAATTTTACCCAAATATGTCAGCATCATAGTTTCTAATCTATCTTTTAACTTTAAGCCAACAGTCAGTCCATAACCACCATCCAACCTAACTAGAGTCAAATTAACTGCAAAGTCTATGCCAAACTGGAAACAGTTTCAGAATGAAGCATCATATATTTGCCATCGTGTGTGGAATTCACAAGTACAGATGTTTCCCAACTCCACTTGATGATGGGCCATGAATGTCCAAGTTTTCATATCAAAATTAAATTTACTTTGAATACCCTAAGTACTAACCTTACGCTTAGTATTACAAAAAATGACAGCTTGGGTGATGGTGAGAGTATCGTAGAGATCACATAATGTATCAAACTTCCATTCTTCTTTTTCAACAGCAACAAAGAATTGTTTTATTCCTTCCAAAGTCAATTCATCACTGTTTAAAAACAAGAGGAATTTTTAATAACCAACGTCAAAATTACCTATCATCAACTGATTTAGTGAAATTAATGAGTGATCCTATGAAACTAAAAACAATCGAGCAATATAATAGTGAACATGCCCGTTAGTATAATAGGCTTTGTCTCCAACTTTTTAAATAAAACTCGCTAAATAAATTAGAAACCAAATCAAGATGAGACTTTTATTAAATCAATACAGATGGCACTAACTGTTTTCAAAAATATGATAAGAGATAAAGCAAACAGCAGGAGCCAGAAACTGAAAATAGCATAAAAAATTTGGACAGAGTATCCCCAGTAATTAGAAATCAAAAGATTCACATGATATCTGAAAATAAATGTGCACATTTTGACATTATGAAATTTCCGCTTTCCGAAATGCAATCTTGACTTGTAAAAAGGATTTAAAAGAGTCATTCCATAGCCAATAACCAAGTACAAATTCTTCACTCTGCGCTTATCTATCTTTACAATGGTTTAGAATTTCACAGTACTAATATCTACAAAAATCATTAATAGTATAACCATGCACAAACACCAAATAAAACAACATCATTGAATTAATAAAGTAACGTCAGGTTCATTCTCACCGTTTGACTAAAATTCTTATAGGATCTGTCATAAATTTGTTCGTCATCTCCAAGATTTCATGTGGCAATGTGGCACTGATCAGGCAAACCTGGAGAACAAAATTTAGAAAATATGTTACTCAACTGCAGAAAGACACAGCCTGAATGCAGCACAAAGCCACATAGTGGATGATTCATGTATTCAAGCCAAAACAGTTTAGACCATGGACGGGAAACCACCGTCTGCATATTGTTCTTGGAGAAAATTTCTACATACAGAATTTAGATTTATTTAAAATATCTAAACTATGAATTGTGGAAATGTTATATATATATATATATTAATGTTTATATTTTATCACCTACAAATAAATTTGTCACCAGCATAGCGAATGGACATAGTAACTGTGACATCACAGACAATTTCCAGGAATGCCAGTATTCAGAGAAGAGTTAAGTACCTTTTTCAATGCAATGCAAAAAATTCAGAATGCGACTTCTGCAAGAAAAATCGCCCCTCACCTGATCTAGATAAACAATTTGGGTAACTAGGCCTATCGATTAGAAAAAACAGAAATATTTTATATGTTATACATAACTAAATATCAACACCTTAGTTCTTGCGTAAGACTCGACAATCAAGAAATGTTCTATTGTTTATTGGAAGCAAATTTTCAATCGAGTAAACAATTAACCTGTATGGCTGGTGGAAGATATCTGTAAACATCATAAATCTGTTCTTTAAATCCTTTGTTTAACATTTCATCTGATTCATCAAGAATTAGAAGTTTGATGGCACGAGTACGAAGATTTCTTCTTCTTATCATGTCTAAATAAAAAATGTTTTGTGCTGAATAATTGCAATAACAAGTTTTATTTTACTATACTACTGCTACAATAACAGAACAACAACTTATCTAAACAATCCAAAGGTTTACTTCGTGTTCAAGATTAATATAAACTTCTAACCAAAAACTCTTCCAGGTGTTCCAGATACAATGTGTTGACCATAATCAAGTTTTCTGATGTCCTCTCCAACGTTGGTTCCACCAATACAAGAGTGACATTGAACGGACATGTAATCGCCGAGTGCAAGAATAACCTAGAAATAAAACTTGTCTTGATTATAATCAAATCATTAAACGATTAAATTAATAAGATTATGGTAAATGAAATCTTTTTGAATAACAAACATGCTTATTTCAATTTTTAGACTTTATTAGGTATTATTACTTATCGATCTTAAGATCGGTAAGTATATTGATAGGTATTTGTCTGTATGTCTGTCTGTGTGTCTGTTAGATGCACGCGATATCTCACGAAAGCGAGATTGAATCTGCTCCAGATTTTGCATGTGCATTCATCTTATCTCGGACCAGAAGCCTATTGATTTTGGGCGAATTATGGCGTATAATTAGCGAGTTATCAATCAATTATTGATATCGTGATCTAGATTTTTGTAAAGCGAGAGAATTTTGAAACCCGCCGAGTGTGTGTGTGCGATGCGCAGTGCGCAAGTTACAAGAGCGGATGAATCGAAACTGCAGTTTCTGTTTTGGGGGATCCCCTAACTATCGATCGATAAGTCTTCGGTTTCCAACCGATATTCTCGTTTGACTCTTGGACCAAACACAAACGATGCTTTTTCGTTATTTAATAATAGCAATAAGGTCATAGCAAACTAGATTGAATTTTTTTTCTACTCAGTGAAAATATAATTAACACAGTTAAGGCTTCTTCTATAGGTTGTATAGGTACAGCAACGTGCGCTCACAAACATACGCAGTAGCTCGTATTTTTTGCCTAACAGTTCTGCAGATAGCTGTTGAATCATTTTAGAAATATATTTTCCCTCTTTTTTAGCGGCCACAATACAAACGTGAACGTGGGTCAATATGCGCCTTGGTTATGAACCGGATTTCCAGCCCATCACCATCCGTTAATTCTGGGCGGCTATTTAGCAATTCTTACATGTCATGTCAATATGAAAAATAAAAAGCTTTTGACTGCAATGCTTCCCCATAATTCCAGATACTTCTAGCTGTACAGCTACTATGTCGCAAGCGCAAATGGTAGAGAGATGCCACTCGTCAATACAATGAGGTACATCTGCTTGCAATTTAGTAGTTCATATAAAAGTTCTAAAATTCTACATGCTTTCATTTATTCCTTTTTAGGGAAAAGATTGCCTGTAATAAACTCGATTTAAATGAGATATTGATGAAATCACTTGGGGATCCCTTGGGTTGATCCAGAGTATGTTTCATTTTTAGGCGAATCAAAAACTCAAAAATATTGCGCTCACACATATTTTAATGTACACATGTATACCAAAAGGGAGAGATAGTTTGAAGTTGACTGGCGCGATATCATTTTTATAAGCGATTAATAGTTTTCAACATGCGTTATATTATCTGTATATCTGTCGTCGTTTTTATTAATAGTGTTTATATTACATATGAGGAAGATTGTTGCAGATCTAACAACGAATTTTAACCAGTTAGGGTATGTACTGTGATTTATAGAGGTAAAAATACAAGCATAGGCGCAAATTATTAAAAATAGAATTGGTTATAGACTCGGTAAAAATGACGTGGACTCGAAATCCAAAGTCCAAAAAATGCGTGGATTTGACTCTAACCCGAGCCCAGATCGAAATCTCGGCCCATCTCTAATAAGACGTTGTCATATTCTACTTTGTTTACACTCACCTTTTGTATTTGTTGAGCGAGCTCTCTAGTTGGAGCAAGAATAAGAGCTTGCGTTTCTCTAATTGAAGTATCGATCATTTGGAGACATGAGATTGAAAATGTTGCTGTTTTACCAGTTCCAGACTGAGATCTAAAAATTTTATTTCAGTATTTTCAGTTTAGGTCATCACTTTAGTACAACATTTATAGGCAATAGGTAATAACCTATATTCAATATTGTTACACAAAAAAGACAACAAAATAAAACTTACTGAGCGATCACATCCCGGCCTTTCATAATTTGCTTGATAGCTCTCTGTTGAATGGCTGATGGTTTCTCAAAACCTGAAAAAGTCGTCTGATTAGTGAGTAGCAGATTTTACAAATCAAAATAATGGATAGCTTTCGAATCACTACTCAACCATTGCTGATTCTACAGGGGATCATGAAGGAGCTAACTATATCAAAATCAAATTCCAGAAACCCATGTAAGAATGAACACAAAAATTAAAAAGAGAAATTTGTTATAAATAATATAATCTTTAGGCAGATCTATAAATGCATGGGATAAAAGAAAACTAGTTTACACTTCATGTTGTATTTCAAGGCTAATATGTTACCATTACACTGTTTGCACCAGGTGAACCAGATTCCAAAAATCCAAGTTTTGGAGAACTTGTATAAAGTCCTACTCCTTCCCACCAAGTGTTCAAAAATTTGTATACAGATAGTAATGTTGTTAAGTTTTAATTAACCAATGTGAGTTGGAAGAACCTGCATTTTGATTAATACCAATCAATCTAAACAGAATTGCTTTGTATTTAAATGTTCATCCAAAATCCCAAAACTCAAGTTTCAAACGATTACCCCACATACCATAAGCATAAATTCCTCTCAGAAGATCATCCCGCAATCCCATTGAGTCGAATGTTGGAGTGACATCAACTTCCTCGGATGTTTCGAATTCAACCTTACTCAAATCATTATCACCTCGACCTCCAACACGACGTTGGACAGATCTTTCTTGATTTCGACCTGCCATCTCAGAATGCTCCAAACTACTCAACTATAGGTTAATTTGATTTTATCTGAGAACTGTTATATGGTTGTAGCTCATAGTGTAATATTTAAGATGGGATTTACACATTTATCCCGGGGGAAGGCAATAAGGAGGCTTAACCATAAGGTGAACCACGGCCTCTCGTCCGGTTAGTAGGTATTTCATGTCGGGTATGGGATTAGTATGTTATGTACTTGATGATGGAGGAAGCCGTTAACTCTGTAATTGGTAACCGTCCAGCGGTTACGTGAACCACCCTACAGCGGCGAGTAGTTCAGCATTCCTCTCGCACATACCTTCCCCACATGGGATTCGAATCCACATAGAGTAATCAGAAGTGCAGGTGCGAGCGTATTCCTAACGCTTAGCACAATCTGACAATGAGCGGCAGTCTGCGCTGTTTTCCTACTCTGTAACTTCTATATGGTTATGTGTGTGTGTAACTTATTAATTTCAGGTGATGAACACATAACACTTCTTCTTGGCAAAACATTCCATCTTATATTCTGTACTGCTGTACGTTTCAAACCTTGTCTAAGGTTGCCTTTGCTCTCCTGATTTCATAATCAGTTTTTATTTATTTGTTTTTATTAATCATTTTATTGCCTGTTACGCCTGTACGCTGATTACCCGTACCGTATAGCTGTATGGAGTGGAAATAAACTTATAAGGTACGGTAGTTATATACAAATCAGCATGATGCCAGGATGTTAAATTGAGATAAATTCTATACCGAAAAGTTAGTCTTAAACAATACTGCAATAACAGCAACAACGTAGTAATACTGTAATAGTTTTAGAAATAATGTTACCGGCAATACAGTAATATTTAGGCCTATAGTAGTAGTAGTAGTGGGAGGCGGACAACTCGACTACACGGACAACTCACCAGAGACAACTCGACTACCTAGAGGCCTGGTGAGTTGTCAGTCTTTTGGCATTTTCTATGGTGGTGTTTTAGGTCTATAGAAATGCGTTTTTGATATTTTTAGTGCTCAAATGTTGAGAAAAAATACATAAATATGCTCTAGAAAGCATTTTTATTTGTATAAGTGGCTTATTTTGATCATGTTGTATGAATACAAATACAGTCTACAGACGAAATTGGAGTAATGTTAGCCAAGTTAGACTGTTGACTTATAGGACTGTGTTCGTTTAATTTTTTGAACTTTATTGGTATTAAATGTTTTGAATGAGCACCTTTAAATATATTAAAACCTTTATACTTCACAGTAACACTCATATCAGTCGGCACTAAGTAAATGATATGCAACTCTTGAGTCTGTGTTTTGCAAAGCAATGTCTTCTCCTCAAGCATCGATATCGCAAAGCGATTGCTCGACTGATGAGTTGTCTGCCTCTCGTTGCTCGGTAGTCGAGCCTCGAGCATCGATGACGTCACGTCGCAGAGCGTTTGCTCGACTGGTGAGTTAACGGCCTGTCGGGCGACTGCCGTAGGCGAGTTTGGACTACTGCAACCATAGACTACTGAGCTCACATTCATAAATATTTAAGTGTTACTGTGAAGTATAAAGGTTTTAATATATTTAAAGATGCTCATTCAAAACATTTAATAGACTACCAATAAAGTTCAAAAAATTAAACGAACACAGTCCTATAAGTCAACAGTCTAACTTCGCTAACCTCCAATTTCGCCTGTCAGCCTGTAGACTGTATTTGTATTCATACAACATGATCAAAATAAGCCACTTATACAAATAAAAATGCTTTCTAGAGCATATTTATGTATTTTTCTCAACATTTGAGCACTAAAAATATCAAAAACGCATTTCTATAGACCTAAAACACCACCGAAGAAAATGCCAAAAGACAACAACTAACCAGGCCTCTAGGTAGTCGAGTTGTCTCTGGTGAGTTGTCCGTGTAGTCGAGTTGTCCATCAGCCGTAGTAGTAGTAGTATTTCATTTCGTCAACATGTCAAACAGTTTACATGCAACATTTCAAAATTAATTTCAAGGCATTGCAGCATTGTGACGATGATAGCAATCTCGTAATACATTAATAGGCATTTTTATGCTGATGCTACAATACAGAAACAGACTAGAGACTACTAAATGCCGGTACTGGAATATCTGAATATTCTACCACAGTACCACAATAAACTGATAAAGCTGCTAAAGGAACATCAGTTTCAGTGTATGAGGCAAGTTCAGAGGACAAACATCAGTCCAGCAGCCACAATACTGCAATAAGTTCTAAGTTTGGAATATAACATGCCTACATATTGACATAAACCAACATGCCAGTCCGATAGTACCGGTACTATCAGAATATTGGGCTTGGAATTAATATAAACCTTGAATTTATTCCCGTCCGGTCAGACGGTACGGTACCGGTACGGTAGCCTCTCATTGAGATAATTACCATACCTGAAGCTGGGAAACCAGCAACATTGCCTATTAACTCACAACCTCATAAACGTGCACAACCTAAACTTCTGAGTTCTGGCTCACGGCCCCAGGATTTGCTCTTGAATTCGAAATACATGAAATGGCGCGGCGGTGTGGCTCAACGGGCTAAGCGTTAGGAATACGCTCGCCACCGCACCTCTAATTACTCTGCGTGGGTTCGCAGGTTCGAATCCCATGCAGGGATGGTTATGTGCGAGAGGATTGCTGGACTCCTCGCCGTCGTTGGGTGGTTCACGTAACCGCTGGTCGGTTACGGCTTCCTCCGCCACCAAGTCCATGCTTCCGAAAACAAACAATACAGTAAAAACTAATCCCATACCCGACTTGGAATGGTAACCGGACGAGAGGCCGTGGTTCGCCATACGGATAAGCCGTCTTATCGGCTTTCCTCTCCCCCGGGATAAATATGTAAATCATATCATATCATATCATCATGAAACAAGAGAGCTATGCTCAAATATATGGACACGTAGCGCCACCCAATGGCAATAATTTTGATGACGTCATAGCGAAAAAAAAAGTAATAGCCTTCTGGAGAAAAATTTTATCTTCAACCACTGAAAATTTCAAAGCAATTGGTCCAGTATTCGAAGAGAAAAGCGACTTTTTAAAAACGTGTCAAAGAACAACAACAACAAGGATAACAAGAACAAGAACAACAACAACATAATATTGAAACGATCGTTATGTCCACTACGTGTCCAATAATAAGAGACAAACAAATGGCATTGGAAGAGGTTCACCTGAAAAATGGCTATCATGCAGCTCTCGGGCGCCGCATATCGAATAAAAGAATAATGAACTTAAATCGTTTCAATCAACAAAAAATTATCAAATCAAAAAATAAAATCTAATTAAGTCAAAAATTGCGTCAAAACCAACATCACACATATCTCGTTTTCCCATCGCGGAAAATTCATTCAAATCATCATGGCTTTGCGCCCAAACACGGTTTGGTCTGCAGCAACCGAAAACATCTGCCGCAGCAGGCCCCCTAGATTTCGAATTTAGTGTATTTTTAATGGGTAGATCCACCAGATGGATTCCTAGTCTCTTTGTGCCAATATTATTACGGTATGTATTTTACTGTTGAAACCTTCACCAGCAAACAGGCAACATGTTGCTATACATTTCTTAGTAATATTGGCATTGGACAGGCTTGATGTCAACAGCCAGAATGCATTTGTATTGGGATTTACACCGTGTTGGAAAATTTGTTTGATACTTTTACCATGTTCTGTTTTTCATTTTTATTGGTTCAAAAGGTAATTGTGAACATCTAACATATTGCCTCTTATGCTGTTAATTTGCTGCAAGTCACTGAATAATATAAATGTTGGACATCCAAACAGTTGAAAGTCTGCCTTTCAGAGTAGACGTAGAAAATACTTCTGCCCTTGTACCAATGGTGTAACAGCCGTTCTTTGTGACCTGGACGACACCGACTGCACACTAGATATTTATTAACAGTTCAATAACGCGGTCTTTCATTGAAAGTCTGCCTTTCAGAGTAGACGTAGAAAATACTTCTGCCCTTGTACCAATGGTGTAACAGCCGTTCTTTGTGACCTGGACGACACCGACTGCACACTAGATATTTATTAACAGTTCAATAACGCGGTCTTTCAAGCCCCAAGTTTGTATCCTCAATCCAGAAAATCACACAACTCGAAGTATACAGTTGACACGGTTAATCTTAATACACACGTAAAAACAAATCAATGCAAAATACTTGCAATAAATAAATAATCATACACAATTCGGCCTTTAGAAAGCCTACTCAAATTTATGAACACAATTATCAAACATCGTTTATTAAGTCGAACCAAATTACTATTGAATAACTTGCAGCCTTCAAATCAGAAAGAGTAACAAATTATAACATACCGAATTTGTCAGCTATTCCAGGCTTAAATTATCATAAGTTGAACATGAAATCATTCGTCAATGAAATCCGAACAAATTAATTAAATAAACTATAACTGTAAAATCAATCACAAAAGGCCATTTAATGCTCATAAAATATCCCTAAATTAGGCCTAGGTGGGCAGCCATGATCTACATTATTTAATCGTCCTACAGTCAAAACAGAAAGCCAAGGTCGCTGAACAAGTTTAACTTATTTACAAATTACAACGAAACGAGCGCCATTCTCTGCAAAAGTAAAGCGCTATCTAAAGCAAATTACCGACACTATCCCTGTCTAAGCGAGACATGTCTGGGCAAGCAATTGCCACAAAGACTCTCTCAATTGTTTCGTAACAAAGTGTGTGGAAGCACACTGTCAATCAAGGGAAATTACGGCGTCAACAATAACAAATAAATTACTACACAAGTTAAACGGACGCAATGTTTAAGTCAATACAAAAATCAAGTGAATGCGATTCTCGATGTAACATTCCCCCAGCCAGATGTTGGAACCCAGTGGAAACATCTTACTCACAAATTTCTTACATCGAGGATATCACACACTTAAAAACATTTTACTCATTAACTCTATGAATCAAGCACAACTTTGCAATTGGCCTTCTCAATAAACCCCTGGATGTCTTCACAGTAACTTGACGCACAGCTCCAAGTTTATCAGGTGTAGTTTCCATAACACGTCCAGTCTGCCACTTCCCCCTGGGTATAGTATTGTCTACAAGTAGCACAATATCACCAACTTCCATATTACGTTCTTTAGAGGTCCATTTCTGTCGTGTCTGAAGTGTGGGTAAGTATTCTTTGGTCCATCTTGTAAGGTGGTGTGTATACACGCACAACTATATTGCATTTGTAGACCTTATTCACATTCGAAACAGAACACATTCCAGATAGATAAACTTAAAACAGTTAATGCACACAGTACCAACTCATAACAGCTAATGTCTCACAGTACACGTGATAAGTACAGAACTTAGAAGTCACCTTCAGACATGAACGGACACGGGTCAAAGGTCACTATATTACATCCCTCCAAACCTTAATAAAAAAAAACACAAAAATTGACATCGATGAACGACAAACCATATGAAGACTTGATATCAAAATTTTAGGATTCAGCACACAAACTTTTAGTTCAAGTCTTCACACAGATAAATATCGATATCAACTTCATGAAATACAATGCAAAACACAGTACACATTAGTTTCAAACTACAGTTAAGCAGTCAATACTGTAATTCGTCCCATATGAAAATCTTTAAATCTACTTGGCACTTTTGGACATCTTCTAGGACGCTCTCTAACACTTGGAACAGAAGGTGCTGGACTTTCAGCAATAGGATCTGCTGTTTCATTATCAATATTCAAATTAGCAGTATCGTCAGAAATATCATTATCATGTAAAACATCAGCACCAGTGATATTTGTAAAACGCTTGCGAAAGGTACAATCATTCACTTTTTTAAACAGAGAAGCATTTCTAGTTTTACTGCCAATATTGGGACTTTGTGCAGTAATCATAGAACCGTTTACATTTATAACATCCATAGGCTCAGGTCTATATGCTGAGGAAAGCTTATTGCTTCTATTTTGTCTCATGATCACGGAGTCACCAACATGAATTTGTTCAGTCGGCTTTAAACAATTTCTTGCGTCAGCATACATTTTCTGTTTAGCCTTATGAAAACAATCACGATCACGTAAATCATTATCAACAGTAGGAACAATAATTTCAGGTAATAGGACTTTAATATTAGTACCATACAATAATTCAGCAGGTGGTCTACCTGTTGTAACATGGGGGCATGCTCTATAATTTCTCAAAAATTTATACATTTCCTGCTTCCAAGACTTGCCTTCAACCGTGGCAGTCTTGATAGCCTTACCCAAAGGTTTCATAAAATTTTCGGACTGGGCATTAGCTCTAGGCCACAAGGGAGTTATCTTTCTATGACGTATGCCACACAGTTCCATGAAACGTCTGAATTGATAACTTTGCCAAGGAGGACCATTATCAGTTTTCACAACTTCAGGAAAACCTAGCATTGAAAATATTTTATCAAGAACAGGAATGACATAAAAATTAGACGTAGCTTTTACAATTTCAACAACAGGAAAACGAGAGTATTCATCAATAACAACAAGACAATAGTCTCCACTGGGATATGGACCAGAAAAATCACAACTAACAGCTTGCCAAGCTTTTTGTGGCAACTCACTCATGCTTAAGGGGAGCATTCTCTCATCTTTCACAACAGAAGCACAAGCAGCACAGCTTTTCACCACATTTTCTACCATAGCATCCATACCAGGAAACCATATCTTTTCTCTTAACAAGGATTTTGTTTTACTCATACCCATATGTCCCTCATGAGCAATGTCAACGATTTTACGTCTCAAACATACTGGAATAACAATTCGATTACCTCGTAATAAAATACCTTGCATAATTTGACTTTTAATCTCAGAATCACGATTTTCTCCAAATTCACAGTTTAATGAAATCTTCTTCAATCTCGTACAAAACTGATCTAAACTTTCACCTTCCTCTTGTTTTGAATTTCGGAATATATATTTTTCATATTCACTGTTTGACTTGGGAACAAAATACGATGTCAGTTTATCTTTTACGTCTGAGAATTTGTCAGATTCTTCTTTTAATGTTTCATATATATCATAGCACTCATCACCCATATAGTGCAGTAAAAGATTATTCTTCTTTTCTCTGTCATCTTCGGTATCTTTGTGGTTCATGGCTAACATTAAAACTTCAAAACGCGATAACCATTTCTTCCACCGGGGACCAGCATTTGATAAGTCTTCACAATCAAATGATCTGAAATCTGGTAGATTTGCCATCTTCTATATGTGGGTTGAAAACTTGTAAACAGCCTAGACCACTTAGGAATGCAGTATAGAATACTGGAATGTTTTTTAGCTTTTGAAACTGTACAACACTCAGTTGGCTCTGGACTTCTGTTGACCACTACTTCACACTAAGTTCCGTAGGTCTTTCCAGTATTCGCGGTTGCACTTAGCTTTCTTTACCACATAGGTTAACGTTAACTGTTACCGTTGCTTTATCCTCATCGCCAATGTAAGGTACGCGTGGGTTCGAATCCCATCCTTGTCGCCAATGTAAGGTGGTGTGTATACACGCACAACTATATTGCATTTGTAGACCTTATTCACATTCGAAACAGAACACATTCCAGATAGATAAACTTAAAACAGTTAATGCACACAGTACCAACTCATAACAGCTAATGTCTCACAGTACACGTGATAAGTACAGAACTTAGAAGTCACCTTCAGACATGAACGGACACGGGTCAAAGGTCACTATATTACACATCTGATCCAAAACTGATCAGCTAAATACTGAATTTGTCGCCATCTTCGTCGAGTGTAACAGTCCTTTTTGTCAAATATGCCAGGAGGTAAATTACTTGTAGGATTCAGTAACAGCAAGTGATCTGGAGTGAGTGGCTCATCATCTTTCGGATCGAAACTTATTGGAGTGATGGGTCTGGAATTCAACTGTGATTCCACTTCACAAAAAATAGTAGCCAAAGCTTCATCTGACACCAACTGATCGTGTAAGAGAGCAACCAAAATCTTTCGAACTGATCGAATTAATCTTTCGTAACATCCTCCAAAATTAGAAGCAGTAGGTGGATTGAAGTGAAATTTAATATTCTCCTGACGCAAAAATTGTCCAACTTTGCTTGAATTCCAAACTTCTATTTCTTTACGTAGGATTTTATTTGCTGCAACGAAGTTACTACCGTTGTCACAGATGAACTTGAATGGTCTACTTCTACGTGCAATAAATCTTCTTAACGCATTTATGAATGAATCTGCATCCATCGAGTATGCAACTTCCAAGTGTACGGCACGAGTTGTCATGCATGTAAATATACAGCCCCACCTCTTGACAGTACTTCGTCCTTGCTTTACAAGAAAATGTCCGAAGTAGTCCACTCCAACATAGGTAAATGGTCTTTCACCTGGTGTGACTCTTTCTTTCGGAAGATCTGCCATAATCTGTTTACTCACAGGTGAACTTCTTCTTCGACAAAACATGCATTTTCTGATAACAGATTTCACCATAGCGCCTCCTTTAACGATCCAAAATCGTTGTCTCAGAGAAGTCCATGTACTCCCCATACCAGAATGATGTGTAGATACATGATGTTCTCTTATAATCATCTCAGTTACATGATGTTTATGTGGAAGTATAATCGGATGTTTAACATCGAAATCAACCGGTGCATTTCTCAATCTCCCACCAACTCTGATGAAGCCATCTTTCATAATCGGATTGAGTTTATGCAGGAAATTTGCAATCTTCAATCTCTTCAGTACTTGTTTCCCAGATGTACTTCTGTGATTGGCTTTCTGCAGAGCATCAATAACTTCGCCAAATTCTTGTCTCTGTATGTATTTCAAAATGTCGTCTCCAGCAACTCGCAATTCTTCAACTTCAAGTTTCTCATTGCACTTATAATTCTTCTTCTTATGAAGGTATTCTTTGAATCGAATCATCCATGCACTTGCCTTTTTCAATTTATACCATGTTGAGAAATATGAAATGAATTTATCCATTGGCTTCAAAGCAAACTCAGAAACATAATTCGCAACAACTCGTGGCTTGCATCTTACAAATTCATCAGGAAGCTCAGGTAACTGTACTGGCGGTTTAGGCCAATGTTCCTCTTGCTCTTGGAGAAATGATGGTCCCTTCAGCCATCGTTCATCCATCAACGATTGTACCGACAACCCTCTGGATGCATCGTCTGCCGGATTCAAATCTGTAGGTACATATCTCCACTGCAAAGCATTCGATCCCTCTTCAATCTTTGCAAGTCGATTTGCCACAAATGTTGGAAATCTTCGTGATGTATTAATACTCAAAAGCACGGAAGTTGAGTCTGTCCAAAACATCGACTCTATTTCTTCGAAGTCTAATTCACGTCTCAGGAATAAATCTAATTTGACTGCAAGAGCGGCAGCAGTCAACTCCAGCCGTGGTATTGAAACAGTTTTGATGGGTGCAAGTCGAGCTTTTCCTAAAAGAAACGCAACATGAATCTTCCCATCTTCATTGATTAGTCGCAAATACGATACAGTTCCATAGGCAACTGCAGAGCCATCTGCAAAATGGTGTATTTGACGAGTCACAATATTGCCAAAACCAGAAGGCGCAAAACATCTTTGCATGAATATATTCTCAAGTCCAGGAATATCTTCGAGCCATCTGTTCCACAATAAATTTTCACTATTCGATATTTCATCGTCCCATCCATAATTATTTCGACATAACTGCTGCATCAATATCCTTGCCTTTAGTATTACAGGTGCCACTATTCCCATCGGGTCAAATATCGAACTGAGTACAGACAAAATCCCTCGTTTTGTTGCGGGTTTTGATTTCACATTAACATCAAATCCAAAACAATCTTCTTGGATATTCCACTTTATTCCGAGTACTCGATCGATCTTTTCAGGTTCTAAATTTACACTTGACGCAGAGTCTGCTCTGTCTTTAGCAGGATCTCAGACAGAACTTCAGGATTGGAACTTTTCCACTTTGCTAGATGAAATCCTTTTTTCTCCAGCAATTTATTCGTTTCTCGAACAATATGAATTCCCTGGTCTACAGTAGATGAGCCATTCAGGTAATCATCAACATAAAAATTTCGCTCAACTCCTTTGACAACATTTTCGTCAAATTCATCTTGATGATCTTGAGCTGTCTTCTTCAGACTCCAATTAGCACAAAATGGAGATGAGACGCTACCAAATATGTGCCTGACCATAAAATATTCTGATGGATCCTGTGACAAATCACCTCCAGGCCACCACATAAATCGCAATACATTCCAATCCTTCGGGTGCACTTTCACCTGATGGAACATTGCTTCGATGTCAGCCACAATAGCTATTTCATGTTGTCTAAAGCGGAGAAGAGTTCCAAGTAGAGAATTTGCCGAATCCGGGCCTCTCAATAGTTGGTCATTCAAGGAAGTATTCATACAACGTGATGCAGCGTCAAAGACAACGCGTACCTTGCCTGGCTTTTGTTCAGAAAACACAGGGTGATGAGGCAAGTACCAAACTGCACCTTTACGGCCAACTTTATATTCATTCGGGATACGTTTTGCAAATCCAAGACTAATATATTTCTCCATAGTATCACAGTACTTCTTTTTCAAAACAGGATCACTCTTCAATTTTCGTTCAATGTACTTTAAGCGTTTCATCGCAACACTTCGATTGTCTGGCAAATCAGGACATCCTGGCTTCCATGGCAATGGTAACTGATAATGTCCGTCCACGATCTCAACTGAATCTTCCATCAATTGCAATGCGTATTTGTCTTCCTTAGACATTGATGGAATAGGCGACAGTGAAGCATCTTTAAAATCACTTTCCCACAAACATTTGATTTGCTGACTCAGCAAGTCTTCCTCTTGCACTTGAACGCAATGAATGTGAACATCACTGTTTCTCTCGTGAGATAAAGCTGGTCCAACCAATGACCATCCTAAAATGGATTTCTTCGCCGAAGGTTCATTGTGTTTCCCTCGTCTCTCATCCATTGTCCAAAACACTTTAGGGACATTTACCCCAATCATCAACATCACGTCTTTACACGGCAGAGTAGGAATCTTCAATCCCTTCAAATGTGCATAACTTTGTACATCAAATTGTGCTTCATTAGCTTTAACAGGCAGTCTATCAACAGTTAGCACATGAGATAAATCAACACTTTCTCTACCATCAAGTGATTTTACAGTAAAATCAACCGCATAACCATCTTGTGATGTTGGTACCGCATTCACAGTTGTCAACGAAAACTGCGTTTTCTTGCCTCTCAACTTCAATAGATCAAGAAGTCGCTCATCGCATAAGCAAGCAGTAGAGCCTTCATCTAGAAATGCATACGTTTCTATTTCTCTTCTGTTGGCACAGATCTTGACAGGTACAATATTCAAAAAACATCCTGCTGAGCTTTTTGAAGTCGCATATGCTTCAACTTTTGACTCATGCATACCAGCAGCATTTTCTGTCTGGGTACATGTCTCTTTTCTCTTCTGTGCAATAACGTATTATGTTTCAACCTACACCCGTCAACAGTACAAGCAGGTGGTTTACGACAATTTCTCGACATATGACCATATACAAAACAATTATCGCACAATCTTGCCTTTCTAACAATCTTCAAGCGGTCACCGTGTGACTTCTGCAGGAATTTGTAACAGTCAACAAGTTTGTGTGACGTCTTTAAACAGTCAGGACAGACATCTCTTCCCTTTTCAATATGTTTTGCACTGGTAACACTGCTGTCAACAGCTGAATCACAGCAGTAGAATGAGCGTGAATCTTTCGCCTATTCGATGATTGAAATCGTAAACGATATTGCTGTTCTTGCTCCCTTCGAGCTCTCAAGGCTTTTCCATAAGGCGTATTTGCAGCCGCAGCCTTTTTCTTCATAAATCGAACAAGATCTTTAAATCTCACTTCTCTATCTTGTCCATCTAATTCTGCCACTGATTCTTCCCAGTTGTTCTGCAACTTGAGAGGAAGTCGTAATACGATGGACAAAATAGTATCAAAATTATCCAAATCCCCAAAATATTTCAAATGTGTCAAAGTGACTAAACATTCTTCTAATGTTTGAGAAAGACGTAACAAACCTTCGTTATCTCCAGGTTTCAACCATGGTCCTTTAGTCAACTTTTCTGAATATTTTCTAGCCACAAGCATTGGTCGACCGTATGTCTTTCTGAGCAAATCGCATGCCTCTTTATAACCTTCATCGGGTGGCAACATTGTACAGTGCATAATCAGTTCCCTCGCATCACCTTCGCAGTATTGTACCAAATATGACAACTTTGTACTTGAATCATGTACTCTTCTATCAATATTTAAGTTGAAGTTAGTGATAAACCCGACATATTCAGTCTCTATTCCACTAAAATGCAATAATTCAGGTCGAGGTCTATCAATTCCGTCTTGCAGCATAGATGCCATATTGCCCAATAAACTTTCCACATTCGGTGATGATTGATCATACGTGTTTCTTTGTTGTGTGATGTGTGGTTCTGTGTACGGAGGTCGGTTCACTGATTCATACTGATCAGGAATATTCACATTCACAGCATCTCGCACATTATCAGTAGAAGCAGGTCTTCTAACATTTAGTACAGGATTTTCCATTCTGACTCGAGATTGTGATAACAAATCTGATGCTGGCAATTTAGTTCTCACATCAGGAGGCTTTAACACTGGAACCACTATTTCATTCAACTCTTGGATTTGATTAGGTGAATGTGAACGAGACATATTTTCATATAATGACATACCTTCGCCTCCCTGAGAAGCATTTTCCCATACATCGGCTGCTATACAGGCTGATTCATATGCATGCTGCAATTCCAAACGCTTTGTTCCACCTTGAGCATCTTCTTCAATTTGTCTAGCTCTTATTTCAGCGTCACGTTTAAGCTTTTCAGCCTTCATTCGGGCTTCCTGCTCTTGCTTTCTAGCATTTTCCATAGCTTCGCGTTCCAGCCTTCTAGCATTTTCCATAGCTTCATGTTTAAGTCTTTGCGCTTCAAGTTGAGCATCTAATTTCATCCGCTGCCATTTTAGCATCATGTTCTCGCTTTTTTGCGGCATCTTTTTCTACTTGCTGCCAAATATTGGCATGAGCAAGTTCTCTAATGGCAATAGCTTCTGTACGTTTAGTACTCGAACTTGAACTGGCACATGAACGACGGGAACTTTTTCCAGAAATTACAGAACGTGCTTCAGGGCTATGTGTCGATGATTTATGACCATCAGCGTCACTCTTTTTGAACCAATCACGTAAGTGCACATTAAATTCTTGAAACTCGCGCACACACTGGAAAAATTCGCTGACATTTCTCCGATCTTCTTCAGAACGTAAAGTACTCACATGAGTTTCATGAGCATTTGAATACTCGGTGAACCGTTTGTCAATGTCAGCACTTTTCAATTTCAACAAATCTCGATTTTTTGTAGTCTGACATAAGTCTCTCAGCATCTTGATATAATTCCTTCATACGAGCACGTAACTCTTCTAAATTTGATTTCGAAACAGATTGCGCATCCATAATGTACAATTACAGTGTTCATCAAACATGAAATACAAAGTTTAAATGTTCAACACTAGGATGATTTCTTCAATTTTGACGATTTACCGAACTCCTGCCGGCATTCGACGATACTTTTGTTATGCAAATCAGATGACTTTATTTGCGTAAATTTGATAACTTCATTTGCGGAAATTCGATAACTTTAATGTAACAGCCGTTCTTTGTGACCTGGACGACACCGACTGCACACTAGATATTTATTAACAGTTCAATAACGCGGTCTTTCAAGCCCCAAGTTTGTATCCTCAATCCAGAAAATCACACAACTCGAAGTATACAGTTGGCACGGTTATCTTAATACAAACGTAAAAACAAATCAATACAAAATACTTGCAATAAATAAATAATCATACACAATTCGGCCTTCAGAAAGCCTACTCAAATTTATGAACATAATTATCAAACATCGTTTATTAAGTCGAACCAAATTACTATTGAATAACTTGCAGCCTTCAAATCAGAAAGAGTAACAAATTATAACATATCGAATTTGTCTGCTATTCCAGGCTTAAATTATCATAAGTTGAACATGAAATCATTCGTCAATGAAATCCGAACAAATCAATTAAATAAACTATAACTGTAAAATCAATCACAAAAGGCCATTTAATGCTCATAAAATATCCCTAAATTAGGCCTAGGTGGGCAGCCATAATTTACATTATTTAATCGTCCTACAGTCAAAACAGAAAGCCAAGGTCGCTGAACAAGTTCAACTTATTTACAAATTACAACGAAACGAGCGCCATTCTCTGCAAAAGTAAAGCGCTATCTAAAGCAAATTACCGACACTATCCCTGTCTAAGCGAGACGTGTCTGGGCAAGCAATTGCCACGAAGACTCTCTCAATTGTTTCGTAACAAAGTGTGTGGAAGCACACTGTCAATCAAGGGAAATTACGGCGTCAACAATAACAAATAAATTACTACACAAGTTAAACGGACGCAATGTTTAAGTCAATACAAAAATCAAGTGAATGCGATTCTCGATGTAACAAATGGTATCCCAATGTAGCCTAAAACCTTGCAGTATGTATAAACTATCAAGCTCGCAGATTGATTGATATTTCTTTTGCATGAGAATTTTGCCTCATCTTACTCGGTCTTGATCTTTGAACCCTAAAAGCCGGTATTCAGTAAATGGTGGCTAAAATATTTGTTGAAGTTTTGTTCCAAGATACAAAGGCAGCGAACGCCGAGGTTCCGAGTATGACTATAATATATTTAGACAATCTGCGCTTTCGATTTCGCGCGGTGGCATTCACGAGATCGAAATTTCCTGGAACGCGTTGCTCTGTGGCCCTCAATGGCCATTTTCACGCCAAATGGGTAGTATTACAAATGCCAGACAATGTATTATTCTAAATATATATTTTTCGTGATAGTGTCATGGTATTTTCAATGAGAATCGAATCAAATCATTTTCAGTAGTGAAAAGTCTCAATAGGGTTCACTGATCTCAATATTTCTGACTGAGCTATTTGGATTAAAGTTGCCAGATCCCAACGATCAAAAAGGTCAGAGCAAGAGACAAAAGAGCCAACAATTTTATCAAGTACAAAAGCCCTATGATTTGTCAGATTTGAAACCTTTGGCACAAAAGTGGATTGCACAGTTTGCAATATGCTGATTCAAAGCCACCAGTTGATTTACTGAGCCGCACAAATATCTTTTCCCATTGAAAGTTGTATTTCGGTTGCTATCATGATGATTTTCACTTCAACATGATGAAAGGTTTAAATAAAAGTAAGAAGTAATTGAATTGAATGACAGACGCAGAATGTACAATACAGTAGAGCCGACATCTATATAGATTATAGAAAGTTCAAAAAAAAACAAATATAAAAAATATTGAGCGGAAGGCAATATTTTACAATCCAATATATACAATACAGGGTGCCGCTTTAGTATGAGATATACCTACATGTTTCTAATTAAACTTGAGATATACCGCAAAAATTTCCTCCTATATTTCACTATTGAAAAAAAAAATTATGCTTATTTGAAAGTGCATTGAAGTGCTGGCGATTTTAAACAGGTTTACATGTTTGAATCCATTACTTTTTATTAAAATTATCCAACCACGTGCTTGTCGTAATAATAGCTAATTTTAGCACTGTTTGTCACAGCGTTCGCGCAATGAGCATATATACAATGAGTGGAAACTTGCAAAGATTTGCTCATTTTGGTATTGTTCCCTGCATTTTTTACGTCGTCCGGCTAAATGGTTCGTTGCATATTAAGAAAACGCATTGCTCGTTGCCAAAATCCCTTGCTTCAGCCGAGTCGGGTGCGAAATTGGCCGTATTGAGGTCTTTAATTCTTCAATACATATTTGGTTTTGGGTTTCGAAGTATGGTACGCTGAAAGCATACAACTATGAGCATATGCTTATTGGGAATGCATATCTATTAGACAGAAAACGTAGCTACAGTACAGAATATGAACCAGTCGCCCAGTGGGGTGCGGTTATTTATGTATTTATTAGGATAATGAGGATAAGGATTTACATATTTATCCCGGGGGAAAGGAAAGCCGATAAGACGACTTATCCATATGGCGAACCACGGCCTCTCGTCCGGTTACCATTCCAAGTCGGGCATGAGATTAGTTATATTGTTTGTTTTCGGAAGCATGGACTTGTTGGTGGAGGAAGCCGTAACCGACCAGCGGTTAAGTGAATCACCCAACGGCGGCGAGGAGTCCAGCAATCCTCTTGCACATAACCATCCCTGCGTGGGATTCGAACCTGCGGACCCATGCAGAGTAATTAGAGGTGCGGTGGCGAGCGTATTCCTAACGCTCAGCCCGTTGAGCCACACCGCCGCGCATGGGATTTACATATTTATCCAAGGGTAGAGGAAAGCCGAG